CCAAATGTCCCCAAATGTCCCCAAATGTCCCCAAATGTCCCCAAAGTGTCCCCAAGCATCCCAAAAGTGTCCCCAAATGTCCCCAATTACCCCCCAGGTGCTTCCAAGTGTCCCCAGGTGCCCCCAGGTGTCCCCAAGTGTCCCCAAAGTGTCCCCAAAGTGTCCCCAAAGTGTCCCCAAAATGCCCCCAGAGTGTCCCCAGAGTGTCCCCAGGTGTCCCCAAGTGTCCCCAGAGTGTCCCCAAGTGCTTCCAAGTGCCCCCAGGTGTCCCCAGGTGTCCCCAACGTGTCCCCGCTCCCCAGCCCTGGCTCAGTGACGCCGAGGACGCGCCGTTCCTGGACCCCGTCCTGCGCAAGCGCGCCGTCAAGGTCAAACACGTCAAGCGCCGCGAGAAGAAGTCGGACAAGAAGGTGGGGGGCACTGGGAGCTACTGGGAGCTACTGGGAGGGTTACTGGGGGTCACTGGGGGTTACTGGGAGCTCACTGGGGGTCACTGGGAGGTCACTGGGGGTCACTGGGGGTTACTGGGAGCTCACTGGGGGCTCACTGGGAGTTACTGGGAGCTCACTGGGAGGTCACTGGGAGGTCACTGGTGCTAACTGGGTGTTACTGGTGCAGAAGGAGGAGCGCTACAAGCGGCACCGGCAGCGGGCGCGGCACCGCGAGCGCCGCGGTCACCCCGAGCGCGCCGACGCGCGCGACCCCGCGGGGCTGGGCCAGTGCCTCGGGCCCGGCTGCACCCGCCCCGCCCGGCCCCCCTCCAAGTACTGCAGCGAGGCCTGCGGCATCAAACTGGCTGCCAAGTGAGTGCACACCAGTACGGACCAGTATAAACCAGTATGGGCTGGGGTAAACCTGTACAGAGCAGGATAAACCCCTATAGGCCAGTGTAAACCAGTATGGACCAGTACGGGCTGGGGTAAATGTGTATGGACAGGGGTAAACCGGTATAGAGCAGTGTAAACCAGTACGGACCAGTATAAACCAGTATGGGCTGGGTTAAACCTGTACAGAGCAGGATAAACCAATATGGACCAGTACGGACCAGTATAAACCAGTATGGGCTGGGGTAAACCTGTACAGAGCAGGATAAACCCCTATAGACCAGTGTAAACCAGTATGGGCCAGTATGGGCTGCGGTAAACCTGTACAGAGCAGGATAAACCAGTATGGACCAGTACGGACCAGTATAAACCAGTATGGGCTGGGGTAAACCAGTACAGAGCAGGATAAACCAGTATGGACCAGTACGGACCAGTACGGACTGGGGTAAACGTGTATGGACAGGGGTAAACCGGTATAGAGCAGTGTAAACCAGTACGGACCAGTATAAACCAGTATGGGCCTGTATGGGCTGGGGTAAACCAGTACAGAGCAATGTAAACCCCTATAGACCAGTATAAACCAGTACAGGCCGGGGTAAACCGGTACAGAGCAGTACAAACCCATCTAGACCAGTATAAACCAGTGTAAACCAGTTATATAAAGAGATTCTGCCTCAGTGGATCCCGGGGATCCCCCAGCCCCCATTAACCCCTTCCTCCCCCCGATCCCAGGGATCCCCCATTAACCCTTTCCCCCCCGATCCCAGCTGGATCTACGAGATCCTGCAGCAGTGGATCCCAGGGATCCCAGGGATCCCCCAGCCCCCATTAACCCTTTCCCCCCGATCCCAGGGATCCCCCATTAACCCTTTCCCCCTGATCCAGCCGGATCTATGAGATCCTGCCGCAGCGGATCCAGCAGTGGATCCAGCAGTGGATCCCGGGGATCCCCCAGCCCCCATTAACCCTTTCCCCCTGATCCCAGCTGGATCTACGAGATCCTGCCACAGCGGATCCAGCAGCGGATCCGGCAGTGGATCCAGCAGCGGATCCAGCAGTGGATCCCAGGGATCCCAGGGATCCCCCAGCCCTCATTAACCCTTTCCCCCCCGATCCCAGCCGGATCTACGAGATCCTGCAGCAGTGGATCCAGCAGTGGATCCCGGGGATCCCTCATTAACCCTTTCCCCCCGATCCCAGCCGGATCTACGAGATCCTGCCACAGCGGATCCAGCAGTGGATCCAGCAGTGGATCCCGGGGATCCCTCATTAACCCTTTCCCCCCCGATCCCAGCCGGATCTACGAGATCCTGCCGCAGCGGATCCAGCAGTGGCAGCAGAGCCCGTGCGTGGCGGAGGAGCACGGCAAGCGGCTGCTGGAGCGGATCCGGCGCGAGCAGCACCAGGCGCGGCTGCGGCTGCAGGAGATGGAGCGGCGCTTCCACGAGCTCGAGGGGCTCATCGCCCGCGCCAAGGGGCACCCGCCCCGCGAGGATGAGGAGGTGGGGACCCCCTCCCCGGGGGGGCCTGAAAATCTTCTTGGGATCCGCTCCCGGTCCTTCGTGGGGTCCCGGGGGTCCCCAAAATCCTTTAATTCTCGTTTTGGGTCCCTGCTGAGAGCCCTGGGCACCCACAGGCGGCTCCTGGGGGTCCCCAAAATCCTTTAATTCTCGTTTTGGGTCCTTTTTGAGAGCCCTGGGCACCCACTCACAGCTCCTGGAGATCCCCAAATCCTTTCATTCTCGTTTTGGGTCCTTTTTGAGAGCCCTGGGCACCCACAGGCGGCTCCTGGAGATCTGGGGATCCCCAAATCCTTTAATTCTTGTTTTGGGTCCCTGTTGAGATCCCTGGGCACCCACTCACAGCTCCTGGAGATCCCCAAATCCTTTAATTCTCGTTTTGGGTCCCTGTTGAGATCCCCCCTGGTCATTCATGGGGTCCTGGAGATCCCAAAATCCTTTAATTCTCCCAGTTTTGGGTCCTGTTTGCACCCACGTGGGGCTCACAGAGATCTGGGGATCCCCAAATCCTTTAATTCTCGTTTTGGGTCCTTGTTGAGATCCCCTCCGGTCCTTCCTGGGGTCCCCAAAATCCTTTAATTTTCCTCATTTTGGGTCTTTGAGATCCCTGGGCACCCACAGGCGGCTCCTGGGGATCCCCAAATTCTTTAATTCTCCTCGTTTTGGGTCCTCTTTGTATCCAGATGGGACTCACAGAGATCTGGGGATCCCCAAAATCCTTTCATTCTCCCCATTTTGGGTCCTTTTTGAGACCCCTGGGCGCCCACAGGCGGCTCCTGGAGCTCTGGGGATCCCCAAATCTTCAAATTCTCCCCTTTTTGGGTCCTCCCTGAGCCCCCTGGGCATCCCCCGAAGCCCCGAGTCCCTCCTTGGGGCACCCCCAGACCCCCCTGGGGCCCCTCCCCGGTCTGGGGGTGCCCCCCTGAGCCCGTCGTGCCCCCCCAGAGCACGGAGGGGGACAGCGAGGACACGGACCTGCAGATCTTCTGCGTGTCCTGCGGCCACCCCATCAACCCCAAGGTGGCCCTGAGGCACATGGAGCGCTGCTACGCCAAGGTGGGGGTCCTGGGGGGCACTGGGG